GTGCAGTCTTCAAGGGGAAGGCTCTCCCCTTTCCATCTACAATGCTAATCTTGGGGCAAACCTTGGTCTATTGTTTCCAAGAACCACGTGAGTTCTATGACACGTGGTGGATGCACTGAGGCTTTTGTAGATATAAGTGTGTTCTGGGTTTTGTTTTTTTTACTATTACTCCCTCTTTAACAAATTCATTTCCCCAGAAATGTTTACAGGGGGGCTGAAGATGGAATGAATTCCCCTTAATTCTCTGGAAGCCTCCGTGTTGCCCTGCTCCTCCATCCTTCGTGATTGAGCTGATGGCGATAAAGAGCTAGAATCCGGCTGCACCCTTGATTACAGGGACGACTCAAACCAAACCCACTGCAACATAGTCATTACGTTTGTTGTCATATCAACTCGTAATTTCCTTGCAAATGTAATCACCGTTCCACTGATTCCTGAGAAAGGGACCAGGTTACCTGCCAGTTACTCTGCTAACAGCTAACAGCTCACGCATGACCAGATGAGTTGAAAAGAAAAAAAAAAACAAAAACACAAATCTTACCTACTTCTCTCTATTTCTCAGTTCCTATTATTCTTTACCTGACTTTCTAATCCCAGAATCTTTAGTCTCCAACATTAAGATCGTTGAGGGCATGGGAAGCTTTTTTATCTTTCTTTCCTTCTTTTTCTCTCTTTCCTTTTTTTCCTTCTTTCTTTCCTTTATTCTTTCAAAAGAAATTCTTTTCCTCCCTTATTTTTCTTTCCTTCCTTCTTTCTCTTTCTTTCCTTCCTTCTCTCCCTCCCCTTTTATTTTCTCTCTCTCCCTTCTTTCCCTCCTTTTTCTTTCATCTTTGTCTCTTTCCTATCTCCTTCCCCTCCTTTCTTCTCTCTCTCTTCCTTTTCTTTCTCTCTCTCTTTCTCTTCCTTCCTTCCTGCCCTAGTTCCATCTATTCAAGTCAAGACAACAAGAATTTATTAAGGACCTACTATGTGCCAACACTATGTTACTGCTGGGGATACAAAGAAAGGCAAAAAATAATCCCTCCTTGCAAGGAGTTCATTGTCTAACGAAAACAAGTATGTATAGACAAGAAACAGACAGGACCAACTGGAGATCATCACAGAGGGAAACCACCAGCATTATGGGGGATTGGGAAAGGCTTCTCACATAACTTAGAATTTTAGCTAAAACTTTAAGGAACTCAAATGAGGAAACTGAGGCCTAGAAGGGCCAAAGCTTCGCTGACCACAGCACCAGAAGAGACCTTAGAGGTGAGGAAACTGAAGGGACAAACGGTGAACTGCGGGAATTGAATGAACCACCCTGACTCCATCTTGTGACTCAATTCTCAAGCTAGTTCAGTTATTTTTCTATAGATTATGGGTCTAGTCCAATTTCTGTCTTTTGAGAAACTCTATTCAATTGTGGGAATTAGGAGAAAACTTTATTGCATTGTTTGAACCTGGCCCTCCAGTGGCTAGGAAGCTGGACCACCTCTATCTGTTGCTTGGGAGAGACCCAATCAGATCCTGAAACTGATGCAAAGAGTTTTCTCACAATTGCACATCTCAAGCAACTCATATGTCTTATCTGAAAACTGGCCTCATACTGGTTAGTCAGCCACTGTCTTCATGTTCCTTTGATTGGCTACAGACACTCGGATTAAGTGGAACACCTCTCTTTCTGAATTCAGGGAATTACACCTGTTTGCTCTCCCCCTCCCAACTTGGAAAGTCCTCAATTATCTTTCCTCTTTTATCTTTCTTCCCTCAATTAGAAATCTTTCCTCAATTAGAGGAAATCTTTCCTCAATTAGAAATCAGATTATCTAACGTTATATTGTTTTCTTTTAATTAATTAGTCTTATTTGGTTGATTGTTTTAATGTATAAAATCTGTCTCCACTGTATTTGAGGTCCAAGTGCCGGTCTGCTGGGCAATCATCTTGCATTGCTTAATGAATCAATTGGCTCAGAAGCTCAAACCTTCGCTTCCTCAGTCATTCCATCTTTCACCCGCCTCAGAGTCTGACCTCCTCATTTTATAAATGAGGAAATTGTACAGCACAGTCAGTTTCCTGTTCCAAAGTCCCAAGGGAGAGAAACACAATAAGCCTGGGAGTGTCAGAACAACGCCATCTTTCAGTGGTACTGATACAAATACAAATTCATGACCCAAGAACTGTATAATTCTTTCTGGTCCCTGAATCACGAATCTTATAAAATGAGAAACTCCAGGATTTGGCCTGGGGCTACATTCATACCAACTTAAGCAGAAATCTGAAAGTCACTCTATAGGGAATTCAGACTCTTAAAAAGTGGTCCTATTTTCACCCTCTGTGCCCCTCCCATGCCTGCACTTCTCTGTCTCCTCGCTAGCCTGGCTTCCTTAAGTCTCAGCTAAAATCCCACTTCCTCTTGATGGAAGCCTTTCCCAGTCTCTCCTCCCACTGCTGGTGTTTTCCTGCCGATTACTTACTATCTATCTATTTTATATCCTCTATCATCCAACCATTATCTTCTTATCTATTATCATCCATCTATCCATCAATCTACCCTATTATAATCCAGCTATTATCTATCTTTTTATATCCTCTATCATCCATCCATTATTTACTTATCTATTACCATCCATCCATCTATCTACCTATCAGTCAATCTATTCTATATCCTCCTCTGTCATCCATCCATCCATCCATCCATCCATCTACCCTATTATCATCCATCATCTATCTAATCTATCTCCTCCACCATTTATCCATCCATGTATCTACATACATATATGTACATTTTTATCTATATCTTGCATGTACATTGTTTTCATGTTATCTCCCCCATTAGAATATGAGACCCTTGAGAGCAGGGACCGTGATTTTGGCCTTTCTTTGCATCCCCAGGACTAGCAGTACCTGGCATATAGTGAGCCCTTATCCAAAGTTTGCTGACTGATTCTCCTGGGCTTTACTTTGGGGAGGATGAATGTGAAATAAAGACTCACTGACAGTGTTTCTCTGGGCTACCAACAGCTTTCAGACATGTTTTTAGCTGCGCCAGGTTGATTCACAAGGACACTAATTATCTCATTAGGAACCATCTCACCACGGGAGTGTGAGTTACATGAACATTTTATGATTAACTTTTTTCTTCTTTTTTTCTTTAATTCAGGGAATGGATGTTCTGTAAGTTACTGTTCTTGCCCTGGTCAACTGAAGTCTCTAGGTAGCCGCTATGGCAGATCTGGGAAAGTGAGAATGAGGAAACGTGTGTGTGTGTGTGTGTGTGTGTGTGTGTGTGTGTGTGTGTGTGTGTATGCGTGTGTGTGTGTAAGAAAAAGAGACAGGCAGGCAGGGAGGATCCCTGCTCCAAATAGAGTAATGGTAAAAATAATAACAAGTATTTACATAGCACTTTAAGGTTTGCAAAATGCCTTATAAATTATCACATCATCTGATCCTCAACAACAATCCTGGGTGCTATTATTATCCCCATTTTACAGCTGAGGAAACTGAGGCAGCAAGAGGCTAAATGATTTGCTCAGGGTCACACAGATGAGTAAGTGTGTTGGAGGCTGGATTTGAAATCAGCTCTCTCTGACTTCAGATTCATCACTGTAGCCACTGTCATGTGTTTATTTTAAAACCAAAATACTCAAATGGGTGTATGATGCCATCCTTTCAGGAATTCCCTCCAATGATACAGACTGAAATCCATGTATACCTGCCCATCCTGTATTACTCTGGCTCATATTCTCCCCAGAATTAGAACTTGACTCCACAGGCAACAGCTGAAATACCAGTAGTGGCAGCAGCCAGCATGTACATAATGCTTTCCTCCCTTCTAAAATGGGGACGATACCACATCACAGCACTGCCACTACGATTAAATGAGATGACATCTATAAAGTCTGCTAACCTTTAAAGCACTGACCGACTACTGGTTATATATGTTGCCTTAATGAGCAGAATGGTTTTGATTATACATAGACCATTGGTAACCCTTTAGACTTGGCTCCTCCACATGCTCAACATCAACATGGCGCCATGGACTTTCTATAAGTGGTCCCTCCAGCTCAGGCTTTGTCTGAACCATGGGAAATAATGAAAGTAAGACAGTCAGAAAAGGTCAGAGCTAGCAGGGACCTTACGGGTACACCTTCAATGCCTGCCTAAGAGACAGAAGTTTGAGAGCTGAAAGGGACCTTAGAGGTCATTCAGTCCAATTTTCTTTTTACAGATGAGTATACTAAGACAGAAATGATTGGCTTAAGGACAGAGAAATGGGACAGTGAGGCGTGAACACCCTGCCTAGAAGGACACATGCTGGTGTTCACATCCCCCCTGAAATTGTGCCTGCTGGGTTCACACCCCACAATGAATTGATAGACCAATTCAGCTTCAATTGGGCACCTCTTCAGTGTCCTTGGGCCATCTTCCTGGCCCTGAACAATTTCCCCATCAGCCCTGTTCCTATTTCCTCTGCTTCCCAAACACTCAAGCTGCCATGCTTTACAAGAAGCAAGTAGAGAAGGGCACTCAGTGGTGGCTTTGAAAAGCACTGGGTTCAATCAGATCTAGGCTGCAGGTGTATGCACACCACCAGTCGAACCCCAAGAATCTAGGTCGTTCAATTTCTTTCTCTGCTTTTCATTCCAGGGTGCTGCCATTGCTACCGCAAGCTGTAATAGTGTCTACAAACAATTTGCACTTCCAGAACTGCATGATCCCAGGGGGTAATTAACAAGCACAGGGAATAATCTTCCTTAAAAGCCTTTCAAAGCAACCCCAGGCCCATGCCGCCATCAATGCAATCTAGTCGCTCATGTGTCGCTGTCATTTTGGAGACACCTGTGCGGGCTCTGGGAGGAGTTCACACTGAGCGGGGTCTTGAGCTTCAAGGGAAGTTGCCTGGAACGTGTTAATTAGAAATAAAACTCGGGCGAGGTTGCTGACTGCAAAGGTATTTGCTCAGAAAGCATACTTAGAACTAAAAGAAAGACTGTCGCCAAATAGGAGGATTCCATACCATTTACCATTCCAAGATAAAAGATGGCGTTCACGAGCACGCCCCCCTTCCGGAAGTGGTCACTCATGTGCTCCAGCCAGTTCGCGTCGAGGCTGTTGACCGTCCGTCCGTTTTTGGAGACCCTGAGCGGGATGGTGACTGTGTAGTATTGTCGGCACCGTTCTAGCTGGCTCTTCGGCTTGTTGAAAATGGTGAAAATCTCCATTTCTGTTCGTGTTAGGAAATAAGAGAGGAGAGAAGGAAAGAGAAGATTAAAATGAAAATGAAAAAATGGAGACCCCTAGACTTTTGAAGTTTTGAATTGTATTAAAAGCTCATACTCAGTTTTTTCATCTGTAAAATGGGGATAATAGCACAGATAAGGAAACTGAGGCAGAGGCTAAGTTCAGGGTCCAGCTCTTTATTCACTTATCCTGCCAGCTGCCACCATCTTATATCTCCCTCCAGTGCCTCATGTGTAGAGTAAGGAGGATGGTCTCTGAGATTCCTTTTGGTGCTAAACCTGTATGACCTGGCTTGGAATCTGAGATCTGTCCCTCAGCATCTGGGTGGCCTGGATCAAGTCACCTCCCCAGGCCTCGGCTTCATCCTCTGTAAGATGAAGGAGTCGAATGCTAACGGTCCCTTTCCAGCTATAAAAGTCCTATAATCTTTAATAAGCAAACAAACAAATAAATAAATAAAGGCAAATATTCTGAGCCATGTGAAAAATACTATTCCAATTCCAGGAAGTCTCAACATTTCTGAACTTTGTATTTATAAAGTGTAGCAGTGTTTCCTGGGGCCCAACCATCACCAATACATCATCAATAAGTAAAAATAAGTACTTTCCCATAAATGAATGCGCTGGATCGGGTGCAGGTCAATTCAGATGATCAAGGTTGGGAGGGGCACTAGAGCTGAGCTATTTTAATTTTAACTTAATTTATAACTCCGTTTTTGCTTCTTTCCCCTCCCAAGAATCAATAATCATAACCGACGGCCAACAGAATTTCTCTCCAGTCTGAAATACGTGCTACAGGACATGGGTTAGCAATGACAGCCTCTCAGGCAAAATACCTGGAATTACAATCAAAGTCACGGGGTCTATTTTTATAACGTGTATTGAGCCAAGTTCTGGAAGTTAACCCAGTACGAGAAACCTCCATTGTACAAGCAAGTCTGGAATGCACTTTGGATTCCAAAAATATCTAGTGGAATAATGAAAAAATCCCCACCCTTCTTCTCATATAAACTTTTAAAAAGTCCTAGGCAGGAGCTGAACGCAGTAAAGGGAAGCACAGTACATCCGCATGCAGAGTCCCCAGGTACCACACACCTGGGAATGGGCTTCAGGTGTGCGCTAAATGGAAGAGACCAGGAACAGAAAGTCGACCCGTAGCAAACCTACCAGCTCATCTAGTACGTGCTTGTTGGACGTGTGATATATTGCCCTCCTATGTTCTAAGCTCCCTGAGGGCAGGTCCTGCTTTTTTCTTTGTCGGGGTATCCCCAATATCTATCACAAAGCTTTGCCCATAGTAGGTGTTTCACAGAATGCTGCTGGATTGGTTTAGGTCATATTGGAGGTGAAGCAGGTAACAAAGGAATTTCCTCAAATGGTTCAAGTCCTACAATCAATGGGGCAGCATGCATGCCTTGGAAAGGAATGTTTAAAGTCTTAAAAAAAAAAACCCGGCCCCTAAATTTCACGATTTGACAGCTGGTGCTTTCCTTGATAATACAACTTCAATCAGTGTGACTGTGCAAAGGGTTACCATTAATAAAGGCAGCTGGGCAGCTAGGTGGAGCCTAAATGGCACGATAGCGCATAGAGCCTAGACAAATGTCTGGCCTCAGACATTTACTAGCTGTGTGACCCTGGGCAAGTCACTTAACCTTGGTTGTCTCAGTTCCTCATCTGTCAAATGAGCTGGAGAAGGAAATGGCAAACTATTACAGTATCTTTGCCAAGAAAACCTGAAATGGAGTCATGAAGAGTTGGACATGACTGAAAAACGTCTGAACAACAGATGGGCAGCCTGATATAACAGGACACTGGGCTTGGAGACAGAAGGATCCGAGTTCAAATCTCACCTCAGATACTTACTAGCTGAGTAATCCCAAGCAAGTCAGTTAATCTCTGTGCCTCAGTTTCCTCATTTATAAAATGAGGGGATTGGATTGGAAACCTCTAAGATCCCTTTCAGCTCTATTTCTAAGATCCTATGAATATATATTGTTTTAAATCAGAAGTCAGGCTAAGGACCTAACAAGATTTATTGTTACCCTAAGAGACCACCTGGACAAACAGAGCCAAGAGTAATTTTTTTTAAAAGGCATCACAAAAACAGGTTAAAAGCAATCATCTCTTAACAGCGGTGGGAAGGCTGACAGTGAGACCATATAAAAACAGGGACCAGCAAAGCCCGCTGGGGCAATGACCGTCCACATGACAATACAAACACCACCCAGGGCAAGGCATGCAGCCCCCACATAGAAGCGAGGGTGATGCGGGGTGACCAGAGACAGACAAGAGAAGACATAAATCCAGCACAGTACACTCACGCGCTTCTCCACCTGATTCCTCACCAGGGAGGATGAAGGACTGAAGCCAGAGACAAAAATAAATTTTTCAGGAAGAAAAAGGAAATTCTGAAGGACTTTCATGTCTCACAAGCACGAGAGGTAATGAAATGTCTGAAGAAACCCAGTTTCAGGTACATGATTCTTTTTTTCAATCCCTCCTTGGTCCCTCCTTCCTCTGAAAATGGAAATTTGCCAGGAGGAATTATCCTGAAGGATGCTTCCCTCGACATGTGTCAGTGGACTGTTTGAACTGCTGGTAATTTTCCAAGACAGTCCTGGGTTTTACTTTCCTGGCCCAACTGCCCTTGGGTGTGTAACAGACTGCCCATTGGTCAACTTCAATTCAATCCAACATGTAAGAGAGTTGAAGACGGAGGGTTCACTGATCAGTTTTGAAGAGCTTGCAGGGAAAAAGAGCATCTTTTTGGAGACTGACCATCCCATCTCTCTCCCTACTGAATATGGGTTCTATTTATGGGCACCTCGTTGAGAGAGCAAAAGACCACGCCTGATTCAGTCCCAGGGACTGGGGATGCCCCAAGATAATCAGGTTGCTTTGGAATCATCCCTAGGTAAGAACTCCTAAAGCAAAGCGTTTCAATAATAGGGGTGCCCCATCCTGTTTTAGCTAGCTCAGACACTTGGGAGACCCTCCCCCTGTTTTGCCAACAAATCTGCCTAATCTTTTTTTTAGGAGCAGGGCTCCTTCCTACTTTTTCCCTTGTATCTTTTTTTTTTTTCCTAGAGTACAGCTATTAATTCAAAAGCAGTTAATGGCCACCCAGGGGAAGAAGCTACATATGTTTGTATACATGGCCAAAGGATCCACCCAGTGTTAGGGTGTCACCCCATTAGCAACCCCAAGTTCAGTTCCCATCTGAGAAGAGCCCAAACCATGAAGCAGTGTTGAACTAGAAAGGCTTAGGGACCTTGGTGGAAAAGTGAGAGCCATCAAGTGGGAAAGAGACGCGTGTTAATTACGCACTACTGTGAAGGTTTTATTCAGTTGGGGGTTTTCTGCATCTATTTATGGGGTTCCTGTGAATCCTCTCTGCTTTTTTACAATTTTGTGGGGTGAAATAAAATATATTCTATGTATATTTGTTACTCTGAGTAATTTACAGTAGCTGGGGACCCAGCACCCACATTTATGGGGATCTAGACACGATCTACATTTGGAGATTCCCAAATTAAACTCTGACTGGGGATAATAATAAGAGATGCTACAAAGGCAAAATTAACAGGTATTGACCACCAACTAGTTGCATGGTGAGAAGAAGACAAAAGCATTAAGGTTAACCTAAAGGTTTCTAGTCTGAGAGAATGAGATAACTATAGTTACATTATCAGAAAGAAAGAATTTTGAAAAAGCAACATTTTTGGGGGGAGGACTATAGAGATTATAAATTCAACAGTATGTCTGAAGGAATTAAAAGGCCCTTAGACGCCATTTCATCCAACCTCCTGATTTGACAGGTAAGGAAACCGAGGCCAGGAGTGGTGCCTTCTGACGAGCCAGCCTGAGAGTAGGAGACTTAGCACTGGGCAGAAAAGAATGAATGGATGGATGGATGAATGAATGGATGGATAGATGGATGAATGAATGAATGGATGGATGGATGAATTAATGAATGGATAGATGGATGAATGAATAAATGGATGGATGGACGAATCAATGAATGGATGAATGGATGGATGGATGGATGGATGGATGTAGCAGCACTAGGGTTTTAACTCCAGCTGACCCACTGACTCCATATTGTCTCTGTCTCTCCAGTCTCTCTCTTGGATTTCACAGTTCACACATAGGATTGGGCTCTGAGTCATGGATTAGGAATGCTTTATTGAATTTATCTTACAGAAAGCAAAGAACATGTAAAGTTTTTTATCTGCTCACCAATATGTTGGCTTAAAAAAAGTCTTGTACCCATAAAAACCAGTCTTGTTTCCCTATTCCTCAAATTAACATTATAATAACAACGCATCTCCCCAACTGAGGGGGAGCCTGAAGGTGGTTGTGGCTGGTAGGTGGAGGCTGAGGAGGAACAGGCTCTCTCCTAGGGATGATTCCTTCCTCCCTCTCCCCACCTCCCACTGTATGACCCCATCAGAGCCTTTCCAAAGCTCCTCACTTTACGATAAATCAAGAAGGCGTCATATGGGACTTGCCAAAACATCCCTGGCAGGTAAAGTGAAGGCAGAGTTAGGTTTGGAGCATTTGGGGAAGGGGAACCAAGGGGGAGGAGGCCAGCCACTCAGGGCCATCTGAAAGCAATGAGACAGCTGTGTGCTCCAAACAAGCCCCAGTGAAAGGGAGGGCAGGGCTCGGAGGGACCCGTGGAAACATTCTAGGGAACTCTTCCATTAAGCGAAATGAGGAAATTCCGCCCCCAAAGAGGAAATAAAAGTCAATGAGCGGGACCAGAAGTACTTATGTGAGATGGGGTGAAATTCTGGAGAAAACCCAAGCAAGGCACAGTACTCAAGCAAAGCCTCGGTCAGGGGGCAGCCCCCAGAGGCGGGCGAGGGGGGTGGAAGCAGGTGCTGTTTGGGGAGCGGATCTCTAGATCTTAAACATCTCTGCTGAGCACTGTCTTATCCCCCCTGAGCTAGAATGATGTTCGCCTTATGTTCCTCCATCCATCCCATAAAACACATAAATTAAATGAGGAGGGGAGAAGGAGGCAGGGGCATTCCCCAGGGATGGTTTTTTTTTTTTCTCAGAGAGACCCACCGTGATTGCTGATTTAGCTCCACAAGGCACACCTGGCAGAATCGGATGAAAACACTTAAAACCTCCTTGGGGGAGACCCAAATGCTCTGCAAACAGAGGAGGAGAAAAAGCTGGGTGGGGGTGGCAAGGGAGGCAGAAAACTGTCCAAGGAAGAACAATCATAAACTTTCCCAGGAATACATTTAAGGGAGAAAGCCAGCTGAGGGGGTGTATTTGTGGAATCAGAGGCCAGAAGCTGCCTTCTAAGGAGCCAGCCCAAGACTCGAAGATCATGGGCTTAGCACTGGGCAGAAAGGAAGGGAGGAAGGAATGAGCACCTCCTACGTGCTTACTATGCACCAAGCACCGTGCTGAGTGCTGGGTATACAAGCAGAAAAGCCAGGCAGACTCCAATCTCAAGGAGCTCACTTCTCATTAAGGGAGACAACACATACAGGGGGAGGCTAGGTGGTTCAGTGGATAGAGTAGCCCGGCCTGGATTTAGGGAGAGTCATCTTTGTGAGTTTAAATCCAGGCTCAGACATTTACTGGCTGTGTGACCCTGGGCAAGTCACTTCACTCTGTTTACCTCAATTTCTTCATCTGTAAAATGAGCTAGAGAAGGAAATGGCAAACCACTCCAGTATCTCTGCCAAGAAAACCCCAAATGGGGTCATGGAGAGTTGGGCATGACAGAAAATGACTGAAAAACTACCCAAAAAACCCACACAGTAGGCTTGACATTTTATCTCAAGGAGGTAACTACACAACAGAGAGCAGGAAAATGGTGCTACACCTCTTGGTCTCCACCCCCCCAAGTCTAGCCAATGCCTAGCCCATAGAGGGTCTTTGGTAAATGCCTAATAAAAGGATATTTTAAACAACGGAAACTCAAGTGTTAATATGGCTTCCCTACAGCTGGAAAATGGACTCAGTGGTCTCTAAGAACCCTTCTAGCTCTAAATCTATGATTCCAGGACAAAGGGCAGGTAAATTGTTCACACACACACACACACACACACACACACACACACACACACACACACTTTAGATTGTAAGCTCACTGAGGGCAGGGACTGTCTCTTGCCACTTTTGGTATCCCCAGAGCTTAGCATAGTGCCTGGCACACAGCAGGTGCTTTAAAAAATGTTTATTGAACTGAATTTAGGAGGCATATCCAGAAAGGCCCACCTTGTGAAAGTCAGCCTCAGGTGTGGGCACCTGGAGAAGGAGGTATGTGAGCAGTACAAAGGTATGGCGTGAGCAGGACGCAAGGCTCTCTATTTCCCAATCTCCTCTAGAGCCACCTGTCTCTAAGTGAAGTCTGAAGGGAGTCCAGACATGAGAAAAGAAAATGGCGGAATCAAGGGAGGCCTCCCAGGCCTCACTGCCTCCTTTCCCTAAACAAGAATTTGGATTAGGGAGAAGAGGGGCAGGCATTTTCAGACTAGAGCAGAAAGACTGTAAGAGGTTTTTCAAGTTAATTCAATAAGCTCTTTTTGAGCACCTAGAAGGGCCCTAGAGATAGAAAAGCAAACACAAAGAATCAGCCCTTTCCCCCAAGGAGGGAAGCGTGTACGCAGAATAACTGCAGAGCACGTGAAGGGAATGATGTGGACTGAGTCCCTACAGTTCAGCTGGAGGCAGTCTGCATAGGGCTTTCCTGCCAAGCTGAGGACTGGGCAGTTTTTCCTAACTGCCAAGGTGAGCCACTGAGGATTCATAAGCGAGAGAGGGACAGTCCCATCATTTAGAAAGATCAAATTGGTGGTTTGGTGGAGTTGATTAGAAGTCTACCTCAGATACGTCCTAGCTGTGCCACTCTGGCCAAGTCCCCACACCTCTGCCTCAGTTTCCTTATGTGTAAAATGAGGGTGATAATAATAGCCACCACCTCCCAGGGTGGTAGGGTGGTGGGGATCAAATAAAATATTTGCCAACCTTATAACGCTCTCCACACGCTAACTATTATCACAGAATGCTGCGGCCACAAAGGGACCTTTGAGATATTCTAGTGCGCCCCTCTCATTTTATGGATGAAGACACGGAGGGCCTCACAATAAAGCGCTTAGCCGGGAAGTGGCTGGTCCAAGGTTTCAACTCCAGACTCCTCCGCCTCCAATCCCAACAAGTCTTTGTCTGTACCGTACTGACCTTTCTAACGTTGTAGAATGAACCATTATAAACGACTACAAAAAAAAATGACTAAATTAACTAATTAATTAATTAATTAATAAACCACTGGTGAGTAGACACCTGCAAGATATGTTCTCAAGCAGGAATTCTTAACCTGGGGTCCATGAATTTATTTTAAAAGTATTTTGATATTTGTTTTTCAATATAATTAGTTTCCTTGGTAACTCTATAGATCTTATTTTATACATTTAAAAACATTCTTCTGGGAAGGGAGTATGGTCAGTAAGTATGCTTCCAAAGGGGTTCAAGACACAAATATGGATAAAAACCCCTGTTCTAAATAACAGTAATTTCGAGATCGAGACCTGAAGGAAACAGGCTCCCCAGGCTTGGGCCCTGGCTCCCTTCTCTCACACTTGCTTACACACAGTAGTGATGAAATACCTTGGCACACTATGGATGCAGCCAATATGTGTAAGGGATGCTAGTCAAAGCAACCGTTTCTGCTGTGAACTGAAGTTGGGCAAAGCTAAATTAGGGAATGTGAGTTGAGAGAGATTTCAAACAGATTTAGAGCTGGAAAGAGGACAGATTTTGAGCTAGAATGGACCATTAGTGCAACCTCCTAATATTACAGATGAAGAAACATGGGCTAAGTTCAGTGACTTACCCAAGGTTATACAAGAGAGCTAGGATTTGAACCCAGGTTTTGTCTATTAGATTGTAAGCTCCTTGAGGGCTGGGTCTGTTTTTTGCCTCTTTTTGTATTCCCAGCACTTGGCACAGTGCCTGGCACGTAGTATGCTCTTAACAAATGTTTATTGACCGACTGACTATCTCCAAATCCATCTTTCTTTCCACTGCATTATCCTGCTACTCTACAAATAAGCAGCACATAATAGGAATAAGAAGGACCCAGATTCAAATCTCACCTCTGGTACTTACTTCCTAGCTGAGTGAAACTGAGCAAGTCAATGAATCTCCCTTAGCCTCCATTTCCTCATTTGTAAAATAATATTAACAAAATTAATAAAAAGATAATAATAAGACCTCTCTCAAAGGGCTGCTGTGAGGATCAAATGGGACAGCCTATGGATAGGTTTTGCAGATCCTAAGGTACTATGCAAACATCTGTCAGGACACAGTGAAACCCTGTATGGAATCAATTAGCTGTGTGGCCCTGGGCAAGTCACTTCACCCTGTTTGCCTCAGTTTCCTCATCTGTCAAATAAGCTGGAGAAGGAAATGAAACCACTCCAGCATCTCTGCCAAGAAAACCCTAAATGGGATCATGAAGAGTTGGACGTGACTGAAATGACTGAACAACACAAAAGCACAGATAACTGTTCTGCAGCCTAGTTTTACAGAGTTGCCTGGAGCACAGAAAAGGTAAGTGACTTGCCCAGGGTCATACCACCAGTAATGTATTAAATGATACAGTAAATCCTGTAGGATGCTTCCTGCCTTTAAATTCTTAGTGCAAAGGATGGGGTTCTGTGAACGACACGGCGCTCGTAAACTGACTCCCAAGTTTGGCTGGCAGCACACACACACAAGGCAGTTTCTCCACGGGGCAAACGAGCGGAACATACGAACTTATGGAAATGGGGCTGCTTACTTGGAAGGGTTGCATCACCTCTTTTCCTGCAACAAATTGTCCTTCTGGGGCTTTCTTTATGTCTGGCTTTGAGCAAACATCCCCAATCCACCCACCACCGGCAAGCGCCAGGTACATTCTGTCAGGATGCCCAACACATTAGCGCTTCCTGTGCCGTGCGCAGACTAATCTGATACTGAAGCAACAGCCAGGCTGATAAAAGAGTTTACTCTCTTACCTCTATTTCAAAGATGGTCACGGTGGGGGGACCATCAGATTTTCCACTCAATGTGGAGGCTCTACAGTATTTCGAGTTGGGCAACTGAGTCAAACGTGTCAGTTTCCCATACATGGGTGATGCACCTTTCCTCCACTCTCATATCACTTTTTTTCCTTTTCCTTAGGATGCTGTGAAAGTTACCAGAAAAAAGCACTAGCATTTCCTAAACCCAGTTGCAGCAGTGACCGACTTACTTCCAGCCAGAGGGTCGGAGCCTTCCCGTTTGTCTGCTGTGAATCCATCTGCCTTCTCTGGTGAATCTGCTCCATTTCCCTCTACAGAGGATAAGTTTGGTGGTTCAGCAACCTGCTTGTCGCCTGTCCCGCATTCCTGGGGCTCTGCGTCGCCCTGAGACCCTGCCGGCGTGCTGCTCATATCCGCCGACCCTGGGGTCTCCCTATCCAAGGACGAGAGGTCTTCCGATTGGTCTGACGTGGTTTTCCCATCTCTCGACTCCCCCGACCCGTTGGCAGTTGGGGTCAGTGGGCTGCTTCCTGCAGAGTTCCCAGGGCAATGGTACTGAGGCACAACGCCCACAAACTCTAGGCCCCGACTTGCTGCATCTTGGATCTGGGAAGTGAACAAAGAGAATGGGAAGAAAGCATTACATTGTAGCAGCAGGAGGAGAGAAGAAATGTTGCGGGGTGGATTGAGGCATGGTGGTGCTGGATGGTTATCAATTATTTTGATAATGGAGTCCAATCTCTCACTGGAAGATTTTCAAGCTGGCAAACTGGCCTTTTTAATGAGCAGCCCCCGAGTCTATGCCCTTCCTCACCCCCCAATCTCCACCATAACCTCCCTCACCCCCCAATCTCCACCGAGCCCTCTCCTTACCCCCCAATCTCCACCATGCCTCCCCCACCTCATAATATCAGGAGGGGGCTGTCGGGCTTTGTTTTCAATCATTCTGTCTTAGAGGAGGCAGCCTTAAAGATTTTTCTTTCTTGGGGCAGCAGAAGTGCACAGAGTAGGGCTACAGAAAATACCGCTCCTTGGAGCAAGGCACACATCTCTGTTTATCATTTGCTGGAGGGTGGCTCAGGATTCCCAAAGTGGGAACTGATGTAAACACCACACAACGCTGCATTTTGAAAGAGGAAGTTAATTTCTGGAGGTTTTATTTTTGTCCCCCCTCCCTGATTTTTTTTTAAACAAATCATCTACTTCCTGACAATCAAGTCGCTGTATAAACACAGTACGTCTATATAAACACATACCAACTACCAGGTGGTATTTTATAACCTCAAAGAATTTCCTTTTAAACAATTATTTTTGCAGTGGGAGGTGGGGGCGGGAAAAGGAATTTGGGGAAGAAAGGGACTAACCACAAGAAGTGATGAAACATGATAGGTACAAAGGACCCCCCCACCCCCCACCCCTAGGTTCTGGGATGAGCCCGAGGCCTGTCCCTGTCCCCATCCGATGGCCCCGCACTTACAAGCTCATTAGAACAACTGCCGCACTCAGGATGCCCCCCCTAAGCCCCAGCCACCTGCTCTGGACGCTCTTCCCTGACTTTTCCCATGGATGAGAGGTGACACCCCCGCCCAGTCACGGATTTACATTTTAGCACTTTCTTTCTCCCTTAAAAAAAGCAAACAATTGTCTCTCTCAGCGCGAAGATGATGGTAGAGACCAAAAAAAGCAACACCCTACTCAGACTCGGCAAGAAGCCGGAACACCCAAGGTGGACACAGGAGGACTTTCTAGGGAACGCATCTGATGTCAATTCCTCGAAAACACAAGCAAGGCGCCATGGAGAGGTTTGGGCCCAATCAACAGCTCTCGCACGACGATACTCAAAAACCATTTTTGCACTGAGACAGAATCCCAGCGGAGAATCTACCATGTGGATAATAATCACAGACCCAGAGTCGGAATGGACCATCTAGTCCAAATCCCTCATTTTACACAAGAGAAAACTGAGGCACACAGACCCTATGACTTGTCCCTGGGAAACTAAGGAATTAAGGGGCAGATCTGGGATGGGAGCCCAGGTCTTCAGATGACAAATCCATTTGCATCACACTCCGGGGGAAGGCAGGGGGTAAGATGAGGATGCACAGATGGGCTACAATCTTCAGCCAGGGAGAGAATGCACACAGGGATGAGATCACAGAAATGGAAGCATTCGAGTGGAAATACAGCATGGGGCATACAGTGGAATGACCGCTGCCTTTGGATTGGGAGGACATGAGTTTGAATCCCGACTTCACCTCTTCGTTATCTATGCAACCTTAAAAGTTACGACTCTGGGTCACATCTCTGGGCCTCAGTTTCTCCCATCTGTAAAGTGAGGGAGGTCAACGAGATGGCTTCTGAGGTCCCTTCCAGCTTCAAACCTTCAAAGCTAAGACTGTTTGAGGTATCGTCCGTCCCGCATTTCATAAATTCCACCAATTACTGAGCAAGGTGTGAGTTGGTCCTGTCCCCCGAATACTTGTGTGTATATTTCTTTATGCCTACATTTGCCTGGATTTATTATCTTAAAAAAAAAAACACAACTTTACTCCCACTCTAAAAAAAATTAGAAACACACTTCCTTCTGATGGAGAATTTTAAAGGCTTAAGTTTCTGCTAGAAGTCTGAAGCTAACTACCTCCATAGTTCAGCACTTTTAATGGGGCACTTCTCCAAGATGGCCTCCTTACACACCTGTCATGAGACTGAAGACCACCGAAAAGGCTTCATACCCTGTTATGCTGACCCTGCTCGTCCACTCTGGCATGCCACCGGAGGAAGGGTTTCAGCCAGAGCAGGGGCTATTCACACAGTACCAGCACACAGTAGGTGCTGAACAAATACCTGCAGACTGACTGACCTCTGCACACCTTGAGACCTTCATGCTGTGAGAATAATGATCATGATTATAATAACTAGCATTTATTTAGTGCTTTAAATCTTGCAGAGGGCTTTCCATGGATTGGTCAATGGTCATTTGGTCCTCACAACAGCCCTTTAAGGCAGGAGCTGTTATCATTCTTATTATTCCATTTTACAGGTGAGAGGTTAAGTACAGGACTAGGCCAGGGTCACACAGCTAAGGAGGTTTCTGAGGCAGGATTCAAACTCAGGCCTTCCTGACTCCAAGTCCAGTCCTCTGACCCCATGCCACCCAGCTGCCGTGGGAACTCTAGCAGGATGAAGCATTGAAGGAAATAAGAAACAAATCTACTTCTACATGGCTAACTTGAGGGCAGCAGGAATGGAATACCACAGAAAGAGCGTGGGCTCTGAAATCAAAGGACTTTGTATTCCAGCTTTTTCACTTACTATCTTCGTGGCCTTGGGGAAATCACTTGTCCTCCTTAGCCTCAGTTTCTCCATCTATAAAATAAAGGGCCTAGACCAGATGGTCTCTAAGATCCTTTCCAGGTGTAATAACCTCTCACCTTCTGGAGGGCCAGACCTCTCAACTGTGATCTAAGAATTAGGGGAAATTAGTCATATTGAAGGCAATTTTCTGCAGCTAAAAAAGCCACGAAGTTGTGAATACCCTTTGATCCACCAATCTCGTTCTCTAACTATGTATATTCCAAGACAGTCAAAGAAAGGAAGAAACTCCTCATATACACCAAAATATTTATGGCAGCCCTTCAGTGGTAGAAAAAGGAAAAAAACCAACAAAGAAACGGATGCTCATCCCCTGGGAAATGACGAATCGAACTGTGGTATACAAATGTCATCAATTATTATGACACGAGCAACAACAGATACAAAGAATTCAGAGAAATTTGGGGAGACTTGTTTGAAATGATACAGAACGAAGTAAGCAAAACCAAGCTGGTAATACAATGACCTCAATGACATACAGAAAGCAACACTAACAGACAACAGAATTCAGTAGTAATTCATCTTACCACCCAAAACGTGCATCCCTTCTGCCAAGAGGAAAAATAGCAGACTACCACATGTATTTGTTCTAAAGATTTGGTTTAGTTTTCCAAAGAACAGCGGGAAAGAGGTGGGAGAGAGAGAATATGGATTTTTGTTCATTAAAAAGAAATAGCAGACCACAGGTAAAAAATGATATTCTCACACATACACACACACACACACACACACACACACACACATATATAGGTATGTCCATCCATATATACACACCTATGTGTATCTGTGTGCATATATACACATATATAAAGATTTATCTATAGTTCTATAGATCTGTATATCTATAGACATCTATAGAGATCTGCAGACACACAAACATACATACATATATATAATGATCTAGCTATGTATCTACAGATCTGTAAATCTGTCTATAGATATAGACATTTATAGATATCTCCATAGATGTACAAACACACACACACACATAATACAAACATATATACGTGTGTGCGTATTTGCAAGGGAGGGGTCTGTAAGTTATTGGTTATTAGAAAGCGAGAGCATTATTAAAGGCCACCAAAAGAATCAACAGAAGAGCACAAAAAAGAAAATGAAGCTACAAACTGGAATGAGAAGTACGGGAGATGGAGCACACTAAAACAAAGGAAGCTTATTCTAATTAGTTCATCAATTGGTCAGTCAACAAACACCTAGTGAATGAACCCAGGGTGCAGAGCAGCATCTGAGGGAGACACCAGCACAGCGAGTTAGCCAAGCTGATAGGAAGAGCAGAATGGGGAAGTCTGGAGATGAGAGAGGATAGACAGACGGATCCAGGCTGTGAAGGTCACATGTACATTTGTACACACACTGGCCAAAGACACAGCCTACAATTACCCTTCTTGTAGTTCTCTCTTGTGACTCATGCACCCGAGTTCTCAGAGAGTTGACATTTAGCGGGCCTTTCTCAAATGTCTTTAAGGGTGCCAAGGGGAGCGAGCAGACATAAACAGGAAGACACACAAAAAAAAAAATCATGCACTGAATTTCAAATTCAAAATGGCACCAAGATGCTGGAATGGAGTACAACTCAATTTGTGACCGGAGGACCTACTAATGGTATGGCCACGGGCCTTGTCATCAGATGTTTCCTCTTCTGTAAGATGGGAGAGTTGGAATGGAGGAACTCTAAAATCCCTTACGATCTTACGATCGATGGTTGGCCTTGGACAGATCACATAATTACTCAGTTATGTCATCTGTAATGAGAGGGCTGAACAAAATGACCTCTAATGACCTTTCCAGCTTAGAGGCCTACAGTTTATCTGATTAAGGGAAGGGGGAGGAAATAAGTACTTATTAAGCAACTCTATGGGGCATATGCTAACCTCATTTGACCTGTTGATGATGATGCAAGTGGAAGGCGGAGATAACCTCATCTTGGGGAAGTTAGTGATGGGGGTGAGCGATAAACAGAGATCATTATGTCTTCTACTGGAACAGTCTTGAAATGAGGTCAGGGGCTGACAGAGGGGCCGCTGCTGCCTTAATGTCACTGGCAGATAAAGAGATGAGCTAACATCCAGATGGGGAAGAAGGATGTAAATAAACATTGGCTAACAGGAGCTAGCAACCGAGTTTCTACCACTAGGGCTTGTGATAATTCCACTCTTTAGCACTTTCAGTTGGGGTGGTAGGCAGTATTAATGATGAGGAATTTACTAACCTAA